GTCATTGTAATATATCCCCTCCCCCACTTACAGGGGCCATTGTAATATATACCCCCCCCCCCTTCCAGGTACCATTGTAATATACCCCCCCATTTCCAGGTGCCATTGTAATTAGATAATCAATGTATTAATCTTAATGGTCATTATGGTTTGGCTGATCAGTGTGTATACCGTCCCCAATCCTGCCAGAACTTAAAGCTGGCCATACACTGATCTATTTTTTTCCTTCAACCCGCGGGCTGAATGAAAACAATTGACCCGATTCCTCCATCAACACTGACAGCGTGTCAATAGAGGAATCCCCGCTGTTTACATTGTATTCTGGCAGATTCCGCCGGCCCGTCAAAAAACCCGGCCAGAGCGGGCAGCTCATTGGCTGCCGGCTCTGATTCATCCAAGGTTTTCCGACCGGTTCCTTTGATCAGCTGATCCAGGGATACCGATCGAAAGGGCGCCGGCAGCGGCACACACTGTACGAATTGTGGCCGGTTCCTCAAAAACCGTCCAAAATTCGAACAGTGTATGGGCACCTTAACGCTTGTTTTATCTCAGCGGTCTGAGACTTTCATCAACATTAAACATTGGTGATCAGTGATGATCAGAAGGAACTCCAGCAAATTTAGATAATACTCTGATGGAGTTAGTCATTTCTTTTGGGTAAGCTTTAAAATAGAAGCTCAGAATGACTAGGAGCTGAAAACACGCTACGGCTTGACTTTAAAAATGGCCCGTGTAGGAGACTCAGCAGAAAGACATGTTGAGACGTCCCATGCATGCACTGTGGCTTTGGCTTCACATTCAGTGGTTAGAGATAAGATTTGGGGTATTTCCATCTGCTGATAATACTCTGTAAATCCGGGTGAATGGACTATAGGGGGCGCCACCTTTCTCTCCCATTGACTTGCGCCCCCATAAGGCTGAGGGTGGGCGATGCTCAGGTGGTCAGACCTCTGTGGGAACCAACGTCACCCGGCTCAGCTCCTGACTGACTGAAGAGTGAGTCAGCCAAGGAGTCAAAGGTCAGCTATTAACCCCAACATTCCTGGGCCATGACACACCTTACATCATAATCCCCCCAGCCGCCACCATAGAGGCCTATTCACCATCCCAACAAGACTTCAAAGAGCCCAAACGGCAGGCGCATTCTTTCCCAAAACTCTCCTCCATTTGTGGTTAGGAGGGAAGTGATCATTAATACAGAACACGTTCACCCAGATGTACCCCACATGGTCTGAAAACAATTGCCAAATACCAGGGGGGGGGCGCAGTGTCCGCGAATGTGAACCCATAGAGCAGAATCACGTTACAATCCGGGGTCACCGGGAGGAAAGATGTGCATTGCGCACAGTCCCTGCAATCCAAGGAGCTCTGGTGATACTACTTAGGGCAATGGTAAGAATTTGTGGTTGGATTCCACATGATAAAACCATTCTCAGGATGATTTGAAGTTTTAAGTCGATCTAAACCCCAAAAGGATAACATCAAGTTTGCTTTCATTCATTGTTTCTCTGTATCTCAGTGCTGCAGATCTCCTGCAGCCCCTTTCAGCCAATTCCTCTCTACATGTGTTTTTCTCTCTATGTAGGCTGCATGTTCTGCTCTAGGCAGGATTTCTGATGGTTGCAATGGTGGACCCGGTTGGTTTATCCACCGGGAAGAGGAGCGATCCTTTAAGGAGAACCTGTCCTAAGCAGAAAA